AAAGTACGAGCTCAGTTTTTGATGGGTTCACGCTAAGTCCATTGCAGCGTGCCCATCTGGAGAGTTTAACTAGAGCTCCCTGCATAAGATCTGAAACATTTTGGGGAAATTTCCCAGCAATTAGCAAGACAACATCATCGGCGTAAGCCACGAACTTTGTCCCACCTTGTTCCAGTTCGATTAGAATTTCACCAAAAGCCAGAGTAGTGGTGATAGAACACCTCCTTGCGGGGTGCCCCTAGTAACAGATTTATTGACAGAACACTTCCCGATGCTTGAGTTGATGATTCTGCTACTGAGCATGGCATCAATCCAGTCAATTAGGAGTGGTGGTATACTAAGTTTTACTAGGGAACTGTGAATTGTCTCGAGTTTGACATTATTGAAGGCTCCCTCAATATCGAGAAAGGCTGCCAAAGTGAAACACGAGTTGTTTAGATTTTTTTCTATACAACCCACGACCTTGTGTTGCGCTGATTCAACAGATCTGCCTTTCATATAGGCGTGTTGAGATGTGCTCAGCGAGGTCAGGGGTATTATAGATCTAATCTCAATGTCTAGTAGTCTCTCCAGCGTTTTCAATAGAAATGATGAGAGACTAATAGGCCTGTAATCTTTTGGAAGCACATGTCTTAGGTTTGCCCCCAACAGGACTCGCCTTCTTCCTGAGGTCTGTAAGGAGAGAGGCAAGTTCCCCTTCAAGAGAACATTTTGGCAGTTGTGGATGATTCTTTTCGAATTTACGCACTGCCTTCAGGTTCGTCTTGATCAGGGTCCTTTCCCTCTCCGTAATCTGTCGCGGCCAATGAAGCTTTTACAATACCTCACCGACCGTTTGTAGTCCCTCCTTGCTTTACCCTCTTTCGATCCGGAGTCGTCGCGGTTGGTAGAGGTACTAGTGCCTAGGTTGGTAGCATCGGTGTGTTCCGATGGAGTCCCTTCTTCGAGTATTGGCCTCACCTCGGCACCGGTATGAGCAACCTCTCCAGTTTCTTGGACTGGTTCATCTCTCTTAGATGAGGGTATGACAGTGATGTCGAGCTCCTCATCGGAGAGAGGTGAATCATTCCCAAAGCCGGATGTTACACTTTCCTGGCTAAGTCTAAGGGTTTTGGTCTTTTCGAGAAGGGCTACAGCTGTTCGCTCTGTCTTTGTATGCTTTCGCATACCACGTCTCTGTTCGTCAACAGAGTCTCGTCCCCACCCATACTTGAAATCTTGTCCGTGGCCGCGTTCCGTGTCGATGCCTCCGAAGAGGCCGTTGAATTATTGTCAGTAATTGGTTTGTTTTTAGTTGATGTAAATTTGTTCTCCATATAAAAAGTTGGACGATGGAGGTGATGAGGTCCGCCATGACATAGCCTCCATATCATGGTAAGGACTTGGCATCTAAGCCTAATACTCGTCGAGGCGCCCAGATGTCGACGAGGCAACCGTTCGAATACAGTCGGTACCCTGACTGCAAACCTTGGAACACTGATAAGCACGGTTTACGTAACACCCCAGTGTTAGGGGTCCGTTGCGGTGGACCAGTCCGTTGACTGGATAGTTTAGGCGCTAGTGACTTCGCCTCGTCGAGTCCGGGGATCATAGGTATTTAGCCCGAGACTCTCCCCCCAGAGACCGCTGAGCTGTCCGCGACTGCTTATTTAATTCGAGGCTGCCCGATATATCTATCGGGCGTCCCACTATCCGTAACCTGTGGACGCGTCCGGTAGCACTCAGCTATGCTTCCGCAGGTATATGACTCTTGACTCTCTCTCCAACCCTACATATCTGTTTGGGGTTAGAGGAACCGTAACCTGTGGACGCGTCCGGTAGCACTCAGCTATGCTTCCGCAGGTATATGACTCTTGACTCTCTCTCCAACCCTACATATCTGTTTGGGGTTAGAGGAACTGGCCACACATACTTCTATAAATTTATATGTATACAATTTAAAAAAATATAGTACCACATCAGTTAAGAACTAGACCGACTTGACTCAAATTTTCTTTTGGTTATTTGTAATTACAGTAAAATACTTCTCAAAGCATCGAAACATTTAAAATTTCAACGTACTTTTAAATTGGGGCTATGCATAATGGGGAACAATAGTAAACAGTTATTGCCGGTATTGATTTCACAATACTGAAAACAATAAATTCGGTAGAAATTATAGCAAAAACATACAAAAGGACGAATATTTAGCGGTATTATTATACCTAAACGAAACGTATATATTCTAACTTCCAAGGAATATTGTATAAATGTTCAAAGATTAACCTAAATATTTCGCCCTTATTGTGATTTTAACGAACGGTCACATAAGTAGATGGATATATATTAATTGACATAGGACTTTGCACAAACATGGTCTTCTAAATGTTACGAATTCAAAACTCAAAAGGCACTGATGAATAGGAAATAAATCATAAAGAAGACTTTTCGTAATTTTTTTTAACAAATTAATTATAACCTCGAAAATGCTTTTGAGGCCTTCAAAATACTTCAAATCGGCAGGTTATATGGGATATCAGTATTAAAGGACTAGACTTCAGTGTACTGAAATCATAAAATGCCACATTGGAGCACATTTAGTCGACGAATATTAGGAGATAATATTATATGAGGGCTATATCTAAATGAGAACAAATATATACCTTTTGTGACATCAATAATCCTAAGAATAAAATGTGCAAAGTCTGAAAGACGCATGTTAAAATTGATGAGCTCTATCGTAATTGCAAATGGAGAAAGGAGAGGCTCACGGATATAATTTAATCGACAAAGATTTGTTCTTAAAAATATGCATTATATGCTAGTACTATGGACCAGCAACGCGGCCCGGGTTAGCTAGTATTTGCAGCGCTAAAGTTAAAATTTGTTTTATTCAGGGTTTTGATTTTTTCCACGGCTTGGGACCATTGTGCATTGTCAAGATCAAATTAATGTTCTCTTTACATTTTACTTTAAAGGCTTATATATTGCTTCTATGCTTGTTGCATGACTCCAAAGAAAGAATAATAATTTATTTCTATGTTAAAAAAACTTTGTCAAGCTGTTAACAACATTTCATAGTGAAATAAGCACCGAAATATTGTCCATATTATCCGTTACAACATCCATATCATAATTGATGAACGCATTCGAAAATTTGCTACGTGGGTGTTTGGATCTGAAATCAGATATCTGTATTGACTTAGTATAGAAGAAGAACATCTGAGTAAATATAGAAAAACATTTTGTTTTTTAGAAATAGGTTTGTTTCAGATTTGTCCTTGAACTGACAACACTTCTAAAATGTTAAAAATAATTGTTTATACCCTCAGCCATATGGCTACGGCCAAAACGTGCCTCATCGATATAATGGTTTTAGACCCTAGGTCTCTTTGGACCAAATCCGTTTCAGGACATTTGGAGTCGATCTAGCGATGTCCGTCTGTCTGTCTGGCTGATGCGCTCGATAACTCTCGAAGGGAGTATCCGATATGATCCAAAGTTGGTACATCGTAATATTATTGTCAAACTTAGATCGTATTCGGAGATGGGCAATATCGGTTCACTCCACACAAAATGTCAACATTTTCAAAGATAATAATTTATTGCACAGAAAGCGAAAATGAACAATATCGGTCCACTCCTTCTGGTATCACCCTCACAAAAGGTCGAAATTTTCAAAAATATATTTTCTGCACAGGAAGAGAAACGATAATCCGATTTTGCTCCAACTTTGCAAATCCTAATATTTGCGTCAGTCAGTCTGGTGCGGAAATGGACAATATGGGTTCAAAATCAAATTCAATCAAATATTGAATAATTGTCTTCAAATCTCATAAAACCCAATAATTTTATTAACCCAAGGTGTGGTGTTAAGATGGAATATATCGGGCCTCCCCCACAAAAGGTCTTAATTTTGAATATTCATTAAGTTCATAAAACGCGAAATTAACATCCGATTTCATTCAAGACTTGGTATATCTTAATATTTCCATCAACACAAGATCTGTTATAAAGATTGTAGATATCGGACCCTTTCTGTTGCTACCTGCCCCACATAGGGTTCAGTTACACAAGCAATGGCTTTGTCTTTTATTACATGATCTTATGTTCTCTATCTTAGTATACCTACATTAATCTCTTACAAATACATGGTGGTGTTATTTCGTACTATTTACTATGGTTGTGTTCCTATTATTATCTTTTTTTTACAATGGATGTGTTCCTACAATTATCGACTTTATATACCATTAAACTGAGGTGGAGCGTGCCAAACATACAGTTTATAGGAATACATTAACAATTCCCACAATTCTACATAGGCCGTATAAGCGGACAAGTCTGATGGATAGTCCCATAAAGAGCACATTCACAAACATACATACACGCTAAGTCTTTATTAAAAACTTTCAGAAAGAAACTTGTAGAAATAATTCACAACGTGAGTTGTACTGCAGGATATATGGAACAAACATTAACTCAATACGCAACATGAGTTGGGCTTAAATTTTGTCAAGATCGACAGAAAACAACTTATTCGTTTGACGCTACTCCTTCTAAATCTTCTGAACGAAAAATTGAGCCTTGACAACGACTACCATTTATATGTAATCCGCTGTCAAGTTAATGCAGGGATAACACTACAAAGCATACGTGAATTATTCACTGGCATTGATGCCATAAAGCTCTGCTCGTCTCTGTAATGTCTTTGTACAGCCCAGGAAGATATACTTCTAATATATTATAATTACTGAAAAATGCATGAATTTCGTCTTGCAATTTACATAAACTGCATGAATGAACTTTAACTGCTTAAGAAATAAATATAATAATAATTTGTTTTAATTTTAAATAAAATATTAAAGGATAAGAATGTTGTGAATAATTTTAGATTAGTTATGAATAGGTGTCTTTGGGACCGTCCAGGGCCCTATGGGCCATTTTTTTTATTTTTCAATACATGCAGTTAATATATTGAAAAATAAATAAAAAATAACAAAGCAAATTTGCTTCATTTGTAGGAAAACCTTGGTGGAAATTCGAAAACCGTTATGTTAGCTACAATTTCGCCCGCTAACACACATATAGACGAAACCTTGGCTACTTTGCGTTACGCATGTCAGGCCAGTCGTATTATCAACAGAGTAAAAGTTAACGAATCACAACATGACAAAACTATAAGAGAACTTCGATCCGAAATTGATAGGTTGAAATCTTTACATTTCGAGTATGAAAGAAAAAGAATATTATCTGAATCTATGAACACAGTCCCGAAGGCGATCATAGATAAGTTTGCAGTGAATGAGATTGAAATGGAAAATTTAAGAGAGTTGCTTGCTGAACGTGAGATGGAATTGAAGAGAGCACAGAAATCATGGATGGACCGACTGAAAGAAGCTGAAGATTTGCGAAAATCGGATATGTTGTTGCTACGTCGCAAAGGTTTAGCGCTTGAATTATCTAAGGATTTACATCAAGCATGTCTGGTTAATTTAACGGACGATCCGATGCTCAGCGAAACACTTTTTTATATATTACCACCTGGACTTGTTACAATTGGCCGCACGAGATCAACCACTACTGGTACCCAACCTGATATCATATTAGACGGCCCCCTAATCGCACATAATCATTGGTACATTTCTTGAAAAGTCTTTTACCTGTATATTATTTTTAACTGCTATTTCTTTTATTTTAGCACAATTGAAAATAATAATGGAAGCCTATTCGTCACGCCTGAGTCGAATGATTTTCAAACTTATATTAATGGCGAAATTGTAACATCCCGAACGCAAGTGCACCACGGCGATCGTTTAGCTTTCGGAGGATCCCACTTTTATCGAATTAACAATCCAGGGGAATCAGAAAAAGGAAACAATAAGGTAATAGTAATAAGGTAATGCATAGGAATTTGAAAGGGGCTACATCATTTGGGAAACTACTTCAATTTAGACCGACCTGATACATATTTTGTACAACTGATTCTTCATGAAACCACTAGGATTGTATCAAATTTAAAACTCTATCGTAACTTTTGCGAAGTATAGAGCAAAATATTTGAGGTCCTTTGTGTTTGGTTAAGCTATATAAAGTTGACCCTAAAAACATTTGACCCGAAACCCCTTTTTGGGATTTTTATCCACCAACCAAACAATTTTCCAAGTGTAATTTCCCGCAGGGTATAGTATATAACGTATATGAGTCAAATTGGCCCAGCCGTTCTCAACTAATGTGTTACTATACTTTTTTTTTTAATTTTTTACACATAGATTTAAAGACCCCAAACAAATACCTAAGGTTGGAGGGAGAGTCAAGATTACGTCATACACTAACTGTGGAACAGATATTAAGCTATTAGGTAAATCAAAAATGAGCGTAAAATTGGGCGTGGTCACTTTTTCTAACAAAACATTATTTTTTATATAATAATGAATTTTGGTTTTATGTTTTAGGTTTTTAAAAAGTGAATAAAGTAACTAATTTAAAACAAGAAAAACTTTCTCATTTTCTTAATTTTTGAAAAAGTTACAGGGCATTCATTCTCCTTGTAATTTCAGTTCCTTTAGTTTTGGCCACCAGTGTATATATACATATATATATATATATATATATGTATACATTCAATGAAATTTGAAATGGCGACGGGATCTGATCAGAAAATATACTTACCAAATTATATTGAAATCGGTTCAGATTTGTATAAAGCTTCCATATATATTTTCCGCCGATTTCGTATATTTGATGCACCAAATATGCTATGTATCTCCATATACAATTTCGGTCGATTTCAAATAGTTGGTACACCAAACACGATATGTATGACCGATTTCAATGAAATTCGGAATAAGTGTCAAAATTCGGTAACAAATAAATTCGCCAAATTATATTGAAATCGGTTCAGATTTGGATATAGCTTCCATATATATTTTCCGCCGATTTCGTATATTTGATACACCAAATATGATATGTATCTCCATATACAATTTCGGCCGATTTCAAATATTTGGTACACCAAACACGATATGTATAACCGATTTCAATGAAATTCGGAATAAGTGACAAAATGCGGAGAAAAAATAAATTCGACAAATTATATTGAAATCGGTTCAGATTTAGATATAGTTTCTATATATATTTTCCGCCAATTTCGTATATTTGATGCACCAAATATGCTATGGATTTCCATATACAATTTCGGCCGATTTCAAATATTTGGTACACCAAACACGATATATATATATATATACACTGGTGGCCAAAACTAAAGCAACTTAAATCGCAAAGACAATAAATGTCCTGTAACTTTTACAAAAATAAACAAATCGTAATTATTTTTCCAGTTTTAAATGAGGGGTTTAATTTACTTTTAAGAAACTAAAAATAAAAATACAAAAATAATTTTGAACGAAAAATAATATGTGGAAAACTAAAATGACCCAATTTTTGCTTGGTCAAAACTAGAGCAACTTTTGATTTTTTATTTTAAAATAATTAAATTTTGGCTAGTAGTCGATTATTTTATTTTTTTTTTTTTTTTTTTGATAGCGGCTGCACACCTACGAGGCATTGAATCTATAACACGCTCAATTTGATCCTTGGGTATGCTTTCCCAGGCACCCCGAATTCTTTAGAAAATGTTGTGCTTATTTATTTCCGAATCTCGCTTGATATTCCTATCTACGATAGTCCAAAGGTTTTCTATGGAGTTTAGGTCCGGTGATTGTGCCGGCTATAACAAACCATCAATTTTTGACTCCCGCAATCAATATTTAACAAGTTTTGATACAAGTTTGGGATCATTGTCATGCTGAAACACCCAAATCAGCTGAATATTTTACTCAGCGTAAGGGAACAACGTGATGTCCAACACATCTTTGTAAACAAACCGATCCACAAATTTCTTTATTTTATGGATAGGCCCAAGTCCATAGAAAGAAAAACAGCGCCACGCCATTTTTGACCCTCCCCCATGCTTCACTGTACCTTTGCAACACTGCGGCTTGAGTCCTTCATTTTTTGGTCTCCTCACCGTAAAATTTTTCACGTGTGAGCCTTTAATATTAAACGTAGACTCATCCCAGAAATAATGTTTTTTTTTTTTCATTGAGCTTGATTCCACTTAATATTATCGTTTCCGAAAGCCTTTTTTGATTTTTTTAGATATAAATGGTTTTTTGATGTCTTACGGGTATGTAGATCAGCTGCCACTACTCGTCTACGCACTGATCTCGAGCTTATATCCAATGATTGCTCTCTCACCAATCCAGTTGAACAGTTGTTTTTTATTTCTCTCACAATTTGTGGATCAGAACGGGCTGAAGTTTTTCACGGCCTTCATCCGTTATAGACTGTTACTACTGATCCAGTTTCATAAAACCGACTTAGTATACAAAAAAAAATTATGAAATCACACAAATATTTATGAAATATTTCTCGGAAATAATTTTCTGTGATATGTTGTTTTGATAGTCACTGATAATTTGCTGTTTTATTCAGGCACTGTATTTGCTTTTAGCCATTTTTAAATTTTTTTTGGGCAGTACTTAAAAAACGAAATGAAAAACACATACTGTTGTAAAAAACTTCTCAAAAAGGATTTATGACAAGCGAAATTGTCGAAGGAAGCAAAAAGCGATAAATGTCACAGTAAAAACAACTGAAATTGCAGCGGTTATATGAATGTACATCAGAGTTGCTTTTGTTTTGTCCAAGCCAAAATCGAGGTAATTGACTTAACAAAACATTATTTTTTATATAATAATGAATTTTGGTTTTATGTTTTAGGTTTTTAAAAAGTGAATAAAGTAACTAATTTAAAACAAGAAAAACTTTCTCATTTTCTTAATTTTTGAAAAAGTTACAGGGCATTCATTCTCCTTGTAATTTCAGTTCCTTTAGTTTTGGCCACCAGTGTATATATACATATATATATATATATATATATGTATACATATATATATATATATATATATATATATATATATATATATATATATATATATATATATATATATATATATATATATATATATATACATATATATATATATATATATATATATATATATATATATATATATATATATATATATATATGTATATACACTGGTGGCCAAAACTAAAGGAACTGAAATTACAAGGAGAATGAATGCCCTGTAACTTTTTCAAAAATTAAGAAAATGAGAAAGTTTTTCTTGTTTTAAATTAGTTACTTTATTCACTTTTTAAAAACCTAAAACATAAAACCAAAATTCATTATTATATAAAAAATAATGTTTTGTTAAGTCAATTACCTCGATTTTGGCTTGGACAAAACAAAAGCAACTCTGATGTACATTCATATAACCGCTGCAATTTCAGTTGTTTTTACTGTGACATTTATCGCTTTTTGCTTCCTTCGACAATTTCGCTTGTCATAAATCCTTTTTGAGAAGTTTTTTACAACAGTATGTGTTTTTCATTTCGTTTTTTAAGTACTGCCCAAAAAAAATTTAAAAATGGCTAAAAGCAAATACAGTGCCTGAATAAAACAGCAAATTATCAGTGACTATCAAAACAACATATCACAGAAAATTATTTCCGAGAAATATTTCATAAATATTTGTGTGATTTCATAATTTTTTTTTGTATACTAAGTCGGTTTTATGAAACTGGATCAGTAGTAACAGTCTATAACGGATGAAGGCCGTGAAAAACTTCAGCCCGTTCTGATCCACAAATTGTGAGAGAAATAAAAAACAACTGTTCAACTGGATTGGTGAGAGAGCAATCATTGGATATAAGCTCGAGATCAGTGCGTAGACGAGTAGTGGCAGCTGATCTACATACCCGTAAGACATCAAAAAACCATTTATATCTAAAAAAATCAAAAAAGGCTTTCGGAAACGATAATATTAAGTGGAATCAAGCTCAATGAAAAAAAAAAAACATTATTTCTGGGATGAGTCTACGTTTAATATTAAAGGCTCACACGTGAAAAATTTTACGGTGAGGAGACCAAAAAATGAAGGACTCAAGCCGCAGTGTTGCAAAGGTACAGTGAAGCATGGGGGAGGGTCAAAAATGGCGTGGCGCTGTTTTTCTTTCTATGGACTTGGGCCTATCCATAAAATAAAGAAATTTGTGGATCGGTTTGTTTACAAAGATGTGTTGGACATCACGTTGTTCCCTTACGCTGAGTAAAATATTCAGCTGATTTGGGTGTTTCAGCATGACAATGATCCCAAACTTGTATCAAAACTTGTTAAATATTGATTGCGGGAGTCAAAAATTGATGGTTTGTTATAGCCGGCACAATCACCGGACCTAAACTCCATAGAAAACCTTTGGACTATCGTAGATAGGAATATCAAGCGAGATTCGGAAATAAATAAGCACAACATTTTCTAAAGAATTCGGGGTGCCTGGGAAAGCATACCCAAGGATCAAATTGAGCGTGTTATAGATTCAATGCCTCGTAGGTGTGCAGCCGCTATCAAAAAAAAAAAAAAAAAAAAATAAAATAATCGACTACTAGCCAAAATTTAATTATTTTAAAATAAAAAATCAAAAGTTGCTCTAGTTTTGACCAAGCAAAAATTGGGTCATTTTAGTTTTCCACATATTATTTTTCGTTCAAAATTATTTTTGTATTTTTATTTTTAGTTTCTTAAAAGTGAATTAAACCCCTCATTTAAAACTGGAAAAATAATTACGATTTGTTTATTTTTGTAAAAGTTACAGGACATTTATTGTCTTTGCGATTTAAGTTGCTTTAGTTTTGGCCACCAGTGTATATATATATATATCGTGTTTGGTGTACCAAATATTTGAAATCGGCCGAAATTGTATATGGAAATCCATAGCATATTTGGTGCATCAAATATACGAAATTGGCGGAAAA